CCTGGTCAGTACCTGGATGGGAGACCTCTTGGGAAAACTAGGTTGCTGTTGGAAGAGGTGTTAGTGAGGAAAGCAGTGGGTGCTCACCCTGTGTCTGTGTCCACCCAAGTCTGTGTGGGTCCTAATACCCCAGTATAGTGATGGGGACACTATACTGTCAAAAAGTACCATCTTTCGGATGAGACATTAAACCGAAGTCCTGACTCTCTGTGGTCTTTAAAAATTCCATGGCATTTCTCGTAAAGAGTAGGGGTGTATCCCCGGAGTCCTGGCCAAATTGCCGCCACTGGCCCTTGTCAATCATGGCTTCCTAATAATCCCCATCCACTTGATTGGCTCTATGACTCTCTCTCCTCTCCACCTATAGCTGGTGTGTGGTGAGCGCACTGGCGCCATTGTACTGTGGCTGCCGTCGCATCATCCAGGTGGATGCTGCACACTGGTGATGGTTGAGGAGAGACCCCCCCAACATGATTGTAAAGCGCTTTGGATGTACAGCAATACACACTGCCCCCCCCCCCCTCATAATTAGCACTTTATTTAGCACAGTAGCAACTTTTTCTTATAATTGTGACTTTAGAACTTAAATTGCTATTTTATTTCTCATTATTGTGTGAATTCTTCTCATTACTTAGACTTCATAACTCACATTTGTGACTTTATTTCTCACAGTTACGGTTACTTCTCATTTTCAACTTTATCAAAAATTACCTGTTTTATTTTTTTATTTATGGAAACTGGCTTCCATAACTACCCTTGAGTATCAATGGATTGATTTGTTATTGTACATGGAGTGCTACACATTTGTCCACAATGGCCGATTGCATGAGCAGAGACCAAGGGAGGGACACCTGTGGATTCCATCTGTTAGGTGATATTTGAAATTCACCAAAGACTTGTCCAATTCACCTTCATTCATAATGGCTTCACCTTTTCACCTGCACCACCGCTGGTAGTCATGGTGTAGTCTAAAAGGCGGCCCGCAGCTTTAAAACTTTAGAGTCTTTAACAGGATTTCTATGTTCTTCGGAACCAGCAGTGATGCTTGCGAAACGGTGATCATAGAAAGGTTTTTTTTTCTGAGCAGGCTGGTCAATGAGATTGTGGTCAGTGCTCAGCTTTCTCTCAAGGCCTTGGTGGCCTTTTCTTCTTTTTGCTCCTTCCACCAGGGACTCTCAGCGCTCACATAGCCTCCAAAACATGATTACTTCACTTAATGCTTGAGTGTGTGTTTTTCCCCAAGCAGCTGACATCCCATGGTTCATTGCACCACATTAGAGAGGTGTGCGATGTCACAATCATTCACAATACCCTTCCAGCCATTCTGCCATCCCCATATGGCCGATCTCCATGTCTTTGAGTAATGGCGCTGCTTTTTGCCTGCATTTGCCCCCACCACCCTGTGAGGCAACCGAGTATGGCTTTGTCACTCGCTGCTGTTCTTGATCGTGACAACGGACAAATATGGCCAACTTTACAGTACAACAGTATGTCCAGGAACTGATGTAAGATCTCATTATACTTTACCTTGCCATATGGCATGAAATCCCCCAGAGTTCCCTCCTGAGACCGTCCACCCTTATGGATGTGTTTTGTTTCAGGTAGAAAGCAAGATGACCATGCACAGTAAAACCAGGTCTAACTTTAATACTAAATGGTAAAAAAAAAGGTCAAGGTGCGAATTTTAAATGACGCACACTGCAGAGTTTCTTTCAGCACAGCATCACAACAATCTGCACAATTTCATGGTTAAGTGAGAATACCGTACTTGTGCCAAATGACTTCACAAATGGCGCTTTGTGAGAGCCATGCATTTCCCTATGAGGTTTGCATTGATTATTTAAATAAGCCAAGGGACATTTTAAGTAATGTCCATGATGTCACAACAGCTTTTGTTATTCGGAGTTGCATATTTAAGTCTGGCAGTTTCACAGTAATGTCCTTTTCTTATTGTAGTTTAAAACCCTATTAAGATGACTTCGCAAAAAAGAGTGTGCACTTTAAATAAAACATTTTGGCAATGCACATTCAGATAACGATTAACAAAGATCTCAATTTGCTCAAAGAGTGTGTACAAGCATAATAATTCAATCAGCTGAATTGTCGAAACAGTTGCATTATAATTCACAAGATGTATATTACAAAACCATTCAATTGTACTGTTCTACACTACAAATGTCCAAAATGCAGCATCTGTTAAGTGCCTCAATATTCATTTGTAACAGGTCAGCATGTTCCCACTGGTTTAAATGAAATGTTCGGCACATGTACTTATACTGCAGTGTTGCGTGGCTGTTTGCCTGACTTCAGTGAGCTGCTTTTGGCCTGCATCGGGCCCCTCATTAAAAGCCTGTCAGCAGTGCATCTGTAGGCCTAACAGCCACTCTGTCAGCCCGCAGCAGCAGACAGCACATGGACAGACAGATATTACCCTCATACACAACTCTCCCTCTGGCCCACAATTCCTATGTTGCAGCCCAGATTGACTCCACCAGGGCAAAGAATTTCTATTTACGCCCTGGAAATGATGCTGATGCATATGCAGTGTGCTGTAACCACAAGAAAAATGGCTTTCATGCCCCTTTTCTAGTTATGGAAGTTATGCTCCATTTCCTGTTCATACACCATGGATATTTACTATGTATATTTGAGCACGCAATGAGACATTAGATTCTGTCATCTGTTCGAATGCGAGTTTTTTTAAGGGATAGTTCACGCAAAAATGAAAATACTATAATTATTTACTCACCCTCATGGTGTTCCAAAACTGTATGACTTTGTTTCAATGGAAAACAAAAGGTGGATTTTTAAGAATGGGGCTTTCTTCTATGCAGTTACAATGAACAGGGACTATGGCTTTCCAGCTTAAAACGATGCAAAAACACCAGACATTGCTCAACTTTTTCGTTCCAAACCCATAAGGCTTTCATTCATTCAGAAAACAAATGAAGATATATTTAATGAAACCTGAGAGATTTCTGTTCTTTCATTGGTTTTTATTTTTTAGATCAAACTTTGAGACCTCTAAAAGTTCATAAAGCATTTGTACAAGAAAGTTGGTGAACAGAAACTCAACATGCTTGCTTTATGCACAAGAACTAAAGAGGTTTGTTCTTGCACATCAAGCAAGCATGTTTGAGTTTCCTTTTGCCATATTTGATGTGCTGTATGTATGTGCATTTTGTTTATATCAATGTTTATATGTGATTAAAAGCCTAAATTAAATCTGTTCATCATATAAAGCAATCATGTCTTTTCAGATAGCTTGCATTAAACCACTCGATTCATATGGATTTACAATCTGTTTATGAACTTTTTGAAGTTTTGGTTTAATAGACATGAAAAATATATTAATTTGTGTTTCTGAAGTTTGAGTTCCCGAGAGATGTATTGATATCCAATTTGTGAACAAACAAGCAAATGTTTTAAATCAAATCTTCAATTAAACTATTGACCTAATTCAAAACACCAGTCTGAATGATTTATTCATCAGACTGATTCAGTTCTCAGATTCAACTCAAGTGGCTAGTACAGTCTTCCGGATTTCTCCTTTCTCCTTATTTTTTTGGTGAAGTTATCTCTAAAGTTGATATTCCATCTCTCAAGCAAATATTAAATACGTATTTACAATGCTCTTTTAAATAAATGTTCATAATAATGATGAATGGTTCCTCAAAGTTAACCATAACCTCTTTTTTTTTTTCTTAAATACCTCCCACTCTGACTATTAAGACCCTTGACATAACATCTTAAGGTCCGCTGGAGTCAGTCCACGTGTGTTCTGTATAAAATGGCAGCTCATTAAACCTCTGTAAAGTTCATTTCACTACCCAGCATTGTTACCCAGGAGCTCCACTTGAAGCTCCGTTTGAACCATTAATTAGTTCAAGGATTCAAATCTCATGCTGGAAAATCTAGAAAAATTCAAAGGTGCCTTTTCTTTCTCATATAAATGTTGTTTGTCTTTCCTCGCTGAGCTGCATGTCACTCTGTTGAATTACCTCTGAATAACACGAGCTTATGCACACAGGAGGAAGTCCAACTGTAGCAGCTATTTACAACTTAGCACAGGGGCTTTGGACAGATGGGAAATTATCTGGAAGCCAGGGTGGGGAATAGAGAAAAGCATCTTCTCTGAGAAATAGAAAGAACGGTTCTAGGAGGGTCGGAGGCTTGTACATGTCTCTCCACTGCAACAAGCCCATTACCGGCCTCTCTCCAAACCCCCTATCTCTAAGAATCCCAGTTGTCCCCCGAGTGTCGGAGAGCCCACGCGCCCCATCCATCCACACTGGCGGGGACTCCATTACGCCCTGATGGAAAGCGATGGAACACCAATTGGGGATACAGGACCGTGCAAGTACGAAGCATGGTCACAAGGCCTGCCGCAGACAGGCAATCTGCTGTGATGAAGAGGCCCTTTACACAGCCCATTTGCGTCCTTTAGGATCCCCTTCAAGCCCCACTGACCCCAGCACCCACTTTCCCCGAACCCGACATACCCACACATCAGCAAACGTCAAATTAGAAAGCAGCCAATGCTGAGGTCTCCATGGAAAGCAAGACATTTTGCGTTGTGTGCTATTTCTGTTCAAAGATTATTCTAAGATGTCAAAGATCACTGCACATGACCTCTGTCTAAATATCCTTTACACAGAGAGAAATTCTGAGGTTCAGAAAAATCTTTTTATTTCAAAAAGTTTTTATTACATCTAATACAGCTTTTCATAGTTTTCATAGTTAATTTACATGCCTTCAGAGAGGACCTTTTGATATTATTCAAATTCGTTTTATTAGTTTTAGGCGTGAACAAAGTCTAATTAGTCTGATGAGAATGCAGTGATTCTGTTGCACAGCCACTCTTGAGACCCGCATCACAGTGCAGTAAACAAAACGCCCTCCTTGCAATGTTCTTTCATTCAATTTACCTGCGGTAACAGCCTAACAAGAGGGGTCCTGCAGGGCTTAATTTCTCTGTCCTGTTCTGTGTCCCTGTGCAGGTGCCATACGTGAAGGTGGCTCCGGAGGACATACTGAAAGTACAGTTTCCTCGCTTTACCACACTGGACCTCAGGCCAACTAATACAGACATCAGCATGGCTGTAGCTGGACTGCTAACGTTCTTCAACAGCAGCACTTCATGTCTCATATGTGCTCAGGCCGATTGTGAGTATCACATGGATTCTATTGTATTATATTGTGTGTGTGTATATGTATTTATGTGTATATTTATTGATTCTCATGCTCACGAAGGCTGCGTTTATTCAATCAAAAATACAGTCAAAAACCATAAAAGTCTGAAAGATTATTACAATTAACTGTTTTCTATTTTAATATATATATATATACCTGTGTGTATATATATATATATATATATATATATATATACATATATATTAGTGCTTTCAAATGATTAATCG